TAGTTTTACAGCTATATCAGAAAATGAATGATTGATTGGTTATTTCATTTACCAAAGGTAATTGAAGCAGATATTTATGAAATCATTGGAAGGTGAACTAGCTCCAGTTCAACAGGCAATTAATATTTGGAGGATTTTCTTGCTATGCTGTAAAAGGAGGAGAACATCACCAGACAGACATTTTAAATTGTTTTATTTAACTAAAACAACAACGTTATGTATTCTGGATTTTTTTCTTCAACAGCAAACATATAATATTTTAACAAAACAAGCATATGAATTTTTGAATTTAGTTAAACATTAAAGTTTTTTAAAATCAGGTTTGTTTTTGTCAAATTGTTTTTAACTAAAATAGTGTAATGAATTTTTTTAGAAAACAAAATAAAAAATTAAATCAACTATGTCAGCCAGGTCAACATGAGAAACTTAAAATATTGGCTTCTGCAGCTAACTCAGTCATCTTCACCTTCATTTTCGTGTTTTGTTCGTAATCTGGAAAAGAAAAACAAGCTTTCCTGCTTTTTCAGGTCCCAAACGATTTCTCAATTTGGAATGAATTAGTCCAAAGGAAGAAAATATTCTTTCTACACCGGCAGAAGAAGCTACTGCTGTTAAAAGTGAGACTATCACTTCAACGGTCTCTGAATCCAAGTGCTTAAGTGACTTCCCACCAGTTCACTGGTGTGACTTTCTTTAAAACATCATCAGCAAACATATATTTCTTGAATGGTTCTTATTCCCAAACTGGGTCTCTTTTACGGCCTGCTGCCATTATAGGTTTTCCCTTCTAGTGAGAGAATGGTATGGTAGATCTCAAATCAATGAAGGCTACACTCAGAAAGACCTCAAGACTTCTGGAATATGCTGCTCAAACAGTTTCACTTTTGTTTATATTGCCTGTCCCTCCCTTCTCACATTTATCTCCAGACTTCTTCTCCTTGTCCAGATCTATTCCGCCCCCAACAATCTTCTATTTACTGAACTTTTTGAAACTTTGCACTTTTAGAGAGAGGTAAGGGATTGACTCTGTGTACACAAATTTGCAGAGGGACAATAGGGTTGAGGTCTGTTATTTCTCACCTCTCTATATTTTTTTATTTATTTTAAAACATTTTTGCTGTTAACTAGGGTTACCATATTTCCACAAGCAAAAAAGAGGACACGGGGGGGGGGGGAGGAGCCCCGCTCTAGCCCCGCCCCCGCCCCGCCCCCATCCATTCCCTCCCACTTCCCACCCCCTGATTGCCCCCCTCAGAACCCCCAACCCCCCCCCGCTCCTTGTCCCCTGACTGCCCCCTCCTGGGACCCCTGCCACTAACTGCCCCCTAGGACCCCACCCCCTATCTAAGCCGCCCTGCTTCTTGTCCCCTGACTGCCCCCTCCTGAGAACCCCCTACGACCCTACCTGTCCTGACTGCCCCGACCCTTATCCACACCCCCACCCCATATTCACACCCCCGCCTCCAGACAGACCCCCAGGGACTCCCATGCCCTATCCAACTGCTCCACGGCCCCTGACAGGACCCCCAGAACTCCAACCCCCTCTGCTACCTGCCTGCCTCGACCCCCTCCACACCCCTGCCCCCCTGACAGCCCCCCCAGAACCCCAGACCCATCTAACCCCCCCTGCTCCCTGTCCCTGACTGTCCCAACCCCTCTCCACACCTCTGCCCCCCGACAGCCCCCCCAGAACCCCCGACCTATCTAACCCCCCCGCTCCCTGTCCCTGACTGTCCCAACCCCTCTCCACACCCCTGCCCCCCTGACAGCCCCCCCAAACTCCCGACCCATCCAACCCCCCTTCCCTGTCCCCTGATCAGGGCCGGCTTTAAAGAGCCCAGGAATCGGACTGCACTCCGGCCGGAGCTCTGACCAGGGCTGCGCGGCTTGGGGCCGGGCCGGAGGTGCTCAGCTGGGGCTGGGCTGGCGCGCTCGGCCGGAACCGGGGTCGCCGCCCTGGGGCCGGAACCGGGGCCAGAGCCGTTGGGGCCCGAGCTGGGCTGGAGCCGCTGGGGCCGCCGGGCGCCGCTCGGCCCGGGCCGCACCTCCCCAGAGCTCTGCTCCTCGCGCCCCCTGCCCCAGCTTACCTGCTGCTGCCTCCCGCTTGCCCCTGCTTCTTTTCAGACTTCCCGCGAAGATCTGATTCGCGGAAGCAGGGGAGGGGGAGGAGCAGGTGGGCGGAGCGTTCAGGGCAGGGGAGGAGGAGGAAGACAGCTGCGGGGCCGGACAGCGTGGTAAGGCTGCAGGGGATGGGGGGAGCCGGGAAGGGGCTTTGGGTGCCCAGCGGCGCTTGGCCGCCGGTTTTCTGTCTATAAATAGCCGACCGGGGGGAAATCCCGGACATTTTTAGATTTTTAAAAATCCCCTCCCCGGACGGCTATTTATAGATCGAAAAGCTGGACGTGTCCGGGGAAAGCCGGACATGTCCGGGGAAATCCGGACGTATGGTAGCCCTACTGTTAACAAGCATGTTACCTCTGGAGACACAAATCCATAGTTTGAGAACTGCAAAACTAAGCATCTCTGATGGTATCTTCTAGACCAGGGGTGGGCAAACTACGGCCTGCGGGCTGGATCCGGCCCCTGGGGCTTTGGATCTGGCCCGCGGGATTGCCCCCCATGGTGCCGCAGGCCCCGTGCCACTTTCAGCAGCAGCCGGCCCAATGTCCCTCTGGCCCTTGCCTCCAGGCACTGCCCCCCGCAGCTCCCATTGGCTACGAACGGGGAACCGCAGCCAATGGGAGCTTTGTGGGAGGTACCTGGAGGCGCGGCAAGGGCAGCGCACACGGAGCCCTCCGTCCTCCCTCCCCCAGGGGCCGTAGAGCTTCCTGGAGCAACACGGGGCTGGGGACAGGGCAGGCATTCAGGGAGCCTGCCCTGGCCCCGGTGCGTGCCGCTGCCACCCCAGAGCCCGAACACCTCCTGCACCCCGCCCCCCAACTCCCTGCCCTAAGCCCCCTGCCTGCACCCCGCACCCCTCCTGCACCCCAACCTCCTGCCCTGAGCCCCCGCTGCACCCCGCACTCCTCCTGCACCCCAACCCCCTTCCCTGAGCCCCCTCATACACCCCGCACCCCTCCTCTGCCCCAATCCCTTGCCCTGAGCCCCTTCCTGCACACACCACATTCCCTCCCGCACCCCAACCCCCTGCCCCGGCCCTGCATACAATTTCTCCACCCAGATGTGGCCCTCGGCCCAAAAAGTTTGCCCACCCCTGTTCTAGACTGAGCACTGAGTCCCATTGGGTAGATAGAAAGATTAACCTAAATAATCTATACAGAAGCTCCTGGAACCCCATAAAATTGGGTTCCTAATCCATGAACTATTGGAACTCATTTACAAAACTTTTCTTAAACATTACATGAATATATTGTCTCATACTATAGAATTACAGTAACTCCTCACTTAATGTTGTAGTTATGTTCCTGAAAAATGCGATTTTAAGCTAAACGATATTAAGCAAATCCAATTTCCCCCATAAGAATTAATGTAAATAGGGGGGGTTAGGTTCCCAGGAAACTTTTTTTTCCAGACAAAAAGCATTATATACATTTTAAACAAGCAATTTAATACAGATATAAATTTTAACCAATTTTAAAGAAACAATTGAATACAGTAACTCCCCACTTAACGTCCTCTCGCTTAACCTCCACCCCTTCCCACAAGCCCTCACCCTTAACCCACCTCTTCTCCCCCACCCCGCTCCACCTCCTCCCCCTTTACTCCGCACGCCGTGTCCTCGCTCCTCCTACCCATGGCAATCAGCTGGTTTGCCGCGTTCAGGAGGCTGGGGAGGGAGGGAGGGGGGAGGCTGCGTGCCGCATCCTCGCTCCTCCCCCCAGCCTCCTCAACACCACAAGACAGCTGATTGCCGCAGGCAGGAGGCGGGGTAGCAGGGGGAAGGCGCTGATCCGTGGGGTCCACCGGCGGGCAGGAGGCGCTGGGGGGGAGGCTTAGGGTAGCTGATAGGGGAAACTGCCAGCCGTGGACAAAGCAGGCGGCCAAACGACATTATAGGGGAGCATTGCACAACTTTAAACAAGCATGTTCTGTAATGGAACAGGGACGTAACAGCGAAAAAACGTTAAGCGAGAGGACATTAAGTGGGGAGTTACTGTAGAATTTATAATCCCTATTCCATGATAAATTATAGCTCAAAGATACCTTAGTTTTATTTAAGGTATCTTTAGATAGGTTTTTTCCTCAAAAAGCATTTTATCAAAAAAAAAAAATCCGATTTAAATTAAAAAAAATCAGTTTTTTAAATTTTTTTTTTTTAAATCATTGATTTTTATCCACCCTGCTTCTGGCCTTAAAATCTGTGAATTGTCCACAATCTTGAGGGTATATCTTTTTGTTCTGGCTCTGGCCAGTTGTATGTTTCCTAGGGAGTCCATTTGTCTTCCTAAAGTTTCCTAACCAGACATTGATCTACATTAAGTCAATTCACCTTTGTTTTAGAGCAGTTCAGGATTTTCGGGTATGTGTATCTAGCTATCTGCTGTGCCTGTCTTTGTGTGTGCTCCCATATATAGATACAGTAGAAAAACGTGCAAATCTATTTGAACACCTCTTTCTATACATCAGGTAATTAATATCTACATTTGTATATAGAATTACACAGTTTTATCTTTCTGATTTTTTTGGTCTTGTTTTTAAAAGTGTTGAGTACTTATGTGGGTTGAATCTAGGAATTCCTTAGGAGAAAGCCAAGCATAATCTGTTGAAAAGGAAAATAGTAATACAGAGACACTTGTGGTAGGATTTCTTTGCCAACATCCAGTCTGTAATGGCATTTTGTTAAGAGCAGGGTGGGAAGAATGGTGAACTTCCTTGCACCCTCCTCCTCCCCCCCCCTTTTTTTTTACCTATACTCTATTTCTGTTACACTTCTTCCGACCCCACTCCCCCATTTCCCTTCCTCACCTAGCCCTGCTCCTTCCCTCAGTGGGATTATGGTGTCACTGTCTTGCGTTCCTGTTGTTTCTCCCTGTCTGTAGCTATCTTAACGACCTGGACCGTATAGCAGAACCTGCCTATCTGCCCACCCAACAAGATGTGCTTAGAGTTCGAGTCCCAACAACAGGGATCATTGAATATCCATTCGACTTACAAAGCGTCATTTTCAGGTAGAAAACAAGAAAAAATGCTTAATACATTTCTTTTTGTTTTTATCATTTGTTAGTTATATAAAATATCACATACTGGTTAAAAAAAAAAGCGTGTAAACATAAAATAATTCTGCACTTTAGTTATTTGTTTGATCATTTTGTTTCTTCGTTATTGTACACAAGTTGTTACCAATTGTCTATAAGGAATAAGTAAAGAGATCAAGAGAGGGAGAGAAAATAAACCTGTGTATGTTTTAATTCAGTTCTTATGGTCATAGTGGAATAATTTGGAACTGGTTTTTAAAAAAATATTTATAGCAATGTTTAATTACAAATTATATGTATGTTAACATATATAAACCAAAGTCCATTGTGCATCCTCGTTTCCTATTTATTAGATGAAGTGCAAAGATAAACTTAGAGGGCTTGATTTTTAATGAGTAGTTCACATATTTGCAAGCTTACTTTTACTTGTACAAATAATTTTACACACAGTTAATTTCAAGTGCAAATGCTGTCACTGAAAAATATAAATACTTGATTGCACCTGCAAATTAAACATCTAAGTAAGAGCTTTTGGGCTGATAATTGTGGGTGCAAAACTTTGCCTGCAAAAGAGAGATTGAGTTGAGGCTCTTTTTGAGTTCAGGATGAGAATCAACTTTAAACTCTGAAAATGCTTGTTTTATGTTATGTGCCCAAATTTTTTTAGCTCATGTTCATTGTTTTCAGTAGGAATACTCAATACCTTATATGCATTTCACTACTCCTCCTCCATATCTGTGTCACCAAGTGCTAAAGTTTTTAAATGAATACAGAATAATGGGGTGTTACAATTACAAATTCAAAATGCAAAAAAGGACATTTATGCTATCATACTGAATTTCAGTCAGTTATATGCTCATTCCATCATATTCTTCAAGTGACTAAAGTGTAATAGGAGTAGTATAATTTTTTTCTGATTGTATTTAATTATTTTTAATTGTAACACTGTGTCATTTTTAAGCAGTTGATACTGAAGGAATGGATGAACCACTATCCATATGAAGGACTAACTTCTGTTCTTGGCAGAAATTGAAAAAACATCTTAGGCACTTTCAATAAAACATGTTTTTCAAATTTTATGTTGATTCTAAGTTTATTTATGTGTCACATGCTCACATATCCCATCCAAAAGATTAAATTACTTCAGTTTAATGTTCGTTTTCAAATTTATTTCTCACTAGATCATCTGTCCCCCCATATATATTGATTTGTTATCTTTTGAAAATTATTTGCTACTTCCTCAAAAAGAACAGGAGTACTTGTGGCACCTTAGAGACTAACAAATTTGTTAGTCTCTAAGGTGCCAC